TGCCAACCTTCTAGAAGGACTGCAGCTAGCCTTCTAATCTACAGGTCTACGGATCGAATCCTGGCTACCTATAGACCTACGACAGACCCACCTACCACTGGCGGTTCTACAGGTCGCAGGTTCAACTCTTCGAGTTGACGCAGGTATTGTACACAGGTAAGTTGGGGAACTAGGGATCGAGCCCTGGGATCTGCCTCAGCTACCACGAATTGGTGAATACCGTTTCATTCCTCATTATCCACGTGTCAGCCTTCCTCATTATCCACGTGTCATTTTTAGCGCGCGTTTTTTTTAAACGGCCGCCTTCCTCATCATCCACGTGTCAGCCGTCTCTCTCTCTTTTTTTTTTTTATTATCCACGTGTCATTTTCAGCGCGCGTCTTTCTCCCGCCATTCCTCTTATTCTTCTCTTAGCCTGCTGCCTTGCCTTATCCTTAATCCTTTTTGTCTTTTTCAGGCTTTACCTTATCCTTTCTCTCTTTTTGTCTTTTTTTCTTTTTAGGATTACCTTTGCTTATCATTATCCCCTTTTCGTCTTTTTCTTTTCTTAGGCTTCTTACCTTCTCCTCCTCCCGTTGCCATAGGGCCCTCGCTGCACTACTCTACATTCAAACGCGTGTCTGGACTGTCACGGACCAGATGACCAGATGCATTCGGACTGATGGAACATTTTTTCTGAATGTATTGGGACCGGTAGCAGCTCCAGATGCATATGTAGAATGTTGATCAGTGGATCGAGGCCCATCCATAGCCATCTGGTCGGTCCTCTCTTCTCGGGTCATGGAACGCTCTCTTGTTTTTTTTTTTTGTTTTTTTTTTTTTTTTTTTGGGAAGCTCTTTTGTTTTTGTGTGTTGTCCTCTTTTTTTTTTTTTTTTCACTACTGCTGAACCGTACTCCTCGGTTGGTCTATTTGGCGGTTCCCTTCCTGTTTTCTTTGCCTTTTTGCCTTTTGGATGTGTGCAAGTGGGTCGATAGGACACACGGGGGTGGGGGCAGGCGCCGCGCAACCTACATCCACGTGGGCGGCCTTGTACGCAAGAGGTTCTGAACAGGGGGAGTCTTGTAAGGAAGAAGATAAAAAAGTGAATCAAGTTTTTCTTGTTTTCCTTGTTTTCTTTCGTTTTTGGCTTCGGCGCTCTGATATCATGTGACAATATATACACATTTTTAGGAGGAGAGATTTCTTCCCACGTGTTCGGACAAAATTTGGACACGACAGCACTCTTCTCCCTGTGGCCTGCGGACTCGTCAGCACTCCTCTTCCCGTTGTGTTACTCTTTGTGGCTCCCCTCCGCTATGTTCCTTTATCTTCCCTCCATTACGCTCCGTTACCCTCCGTTGTCTCTCCTCCGTTAGCCTCCGTTATCTCCCTCCGTTAGCCTCCGTTTTCACGCCTCCGCTAGTCTCCATTATCGCACCCCTCCGTTAAGCTCTGTTAAGCTCCGTTAAGTTCCGTTAAGCTACGTTTATGTCCGCTTTGCAGGAACACGGCTGTTGCCTCTTTGCATTCGTCTGAGGCGTGCCGCCTCTGCATCGTTCTGTACATGACAAGAAAGCATCTTGCTTTTGTTCTCCGCCTCTTCCTCTTCCTTCTCCTCTTCCCCCTCCTTTGTTGTCTCCATGCATTCTTCTGAGGCGTGCTACCTCTCCATTGTTCCTTACATGACATGAAAGCATCTGCTCTTGTTCTCCTCCTCTTCCTCTTCCTCTTCCTTCTCTTCCCTCTCCTTTTCTCCTCCTCTTCGTCTCCCTCCTTTCTCCCCTTCTCCTCTATCATCACCTTGTCCCTCTTCTTCTTCTCCTTCTTCTCCTTCTTCCCCTCCTCCTTCCTTTTCTCCTCTGCTTCCTCCTTCCCCTCCTTGGGCATCTAACCATCAGCCAATCTATTTTTAGCAAGTCTTAAGTTTGTGCTTGCTGCCTAAGGAGACGGTCGATTGTGCTGCGACTCTGAAAAAAGAGAGACTTGTACAAGATCTCGTCGGCTGTAGGCGTGCAACCGTAGAGTTTAAAGCTACCCCCCCCCCCCCCCCCATGTAGCCGTGCTTTAGGTAATGAAATGTGTCAGGGCACCAAAAAGAGAGCCTTTACATCTTGTCTCCTAGTGTTTCCCCCAAATATAACGTACAGTTATTATCAATGTGTATCTGTACACTGAATGTTGCCCCAAATCCCAGTATCTAGACTGAATGTTGCCCCAAATCCCAGTATCTAGACTGAATGTTGCCCCAAATCCCAGTATCTAGACTGAATGTTGCCCCAAATATACAGTGATAATCACCGTTGGTCTAGGTTACCAGAGTGGCCCGGGGTCACTTGCCCGCCGGGCCAAAAACAATAAAAAAAATAAAGATAAGAAATATATTGTTAGATTTTATTTTTTATTCTAAATTTGGTGACTAATTTCGATGTGACCCCGAGGCAAAAGTTGTTCAGTTTATTTTTCTGCACAACATAGTTTTTTTTTCGGATTTTTTGGAGTGTTTTTTTTTTTTTTTTTTTTTTTGCTGGGACCTTCCCTGGTCCTTACACGGGCTGTTGGTGATATTCACATGCATCCAACCAGTTGCAAACCAGAGCAATCACATCATGCAGAGCGAAGAATAGACCGGAGAAAGAGTAGTCAAGTCAACAAGTAGTATCACCAAAATCCCGAACGCGGCGAGATAAGCTTTAAAAAATGAACATGAAGCACAATCGGCTTATCAAAAGCTCGAACCGGAAATAGGCATYGCGCCTAGTATCGTCACAATTCATGCGAGCAGCTGGCGGACGACCCTACGTTTCATCCGGTCGCCAGAACCGGACTCATCAGGGGTCTTCAGCGAACGGAGGAGATAGCAACTACTACAGGTTGACAGGTATAAGTACTCGAGTGCTAGCTACCAGAAGTGCCGAAAGGTCTACTAAATATCAATGAATGAAACTACTTAAGCAGTCCAGATACCGAACCTGTCAAAAGTTAGAGAAAATACACCGTTCGCAAAGAAAACGTGACGCGTTGTCCAATTCAAATGAGCCGTCCCAGAAAAGAAGTCCGAATCCTAATAAGAGGGCTCCAAAGTCGGTCCAATACAGTGAACCAGGAGGTCAACAGAAAGCGGCCTAACTCATCCGAAATTGCCGTGCTGAACAGATCGCGGAGGCCCCCCAATATTGCCGCGCCCGATCCCATCCCGTGAGAAAACCCAACCACTCATCCCAACATCCGCCAAACTTAGAAGAAAAATTCCGCAGTGCACCGTCGAAAAACTCGTCCTCGAAACCACGAAGTCGCAATTCAACCTTCAGAGCAAAAAGAAAACCTACCACAGCAACGGGAGAATCCGTAAGTCTCTTCGCTCGATGGAAAAAGGATACGACCACAGCTAATTTTTGTCGACGGCTGGTGTAAGAGCAGGCGTCTTGCAGGTTTTGGAACAAAATGCCCTTACGAATCGATCGTTGATTCTTGTGTACGGCTGCGCAGCGGATACCCAATCGTTCATCAACATTACTGATGACACAACCCAAAAAATCCCAAAACTCAGCCCTACTCGTACATTCCAATTTCAAGTTCTGGTCATAACATCTTTCAAACTCAGTTATCATCTCATATCCTTTACGAATCGAGACAGCATCACCTTCACGGTACTTGATAAAAATCGACACATCATCAATAAGCCGAATACCATGTACCAGTTTGCGATCTACTCCTAAACTCGTTAGAAAGGTGAACTCGGAGAAGGAGCAAAGAAGGCAGGCAATTGCGGGACTAGAAGATTTGCCCATCGGAATTCCAACTGTTTGCTGCAGAATCTTTCCGGAGGCGGAGAGGTAAGTATTCTTTAAATCAAAGAGGACGAATTCTCTAACCATGTGGAATTGCAATCCCTCCCATCCTTCAGGAATTCTTCGTCGCCAGAGCTTAACACCTTTACCTCGCTTATTCACAGTCAACTCCAGAAATCGATCACCCAATCAAGAACCGTGAGAATAGAAGAGTGTGGGAGATTGCAAAACATCTCCTTGATATCATACGAGGCTGTGATCCATCGATGGCCTTTCTCCAAATCTTTATTAACCATCTTCAAACTAGTCGGCAGAAGATCGGTGCTACGAAGGTTGAAGTTCGATCGTTTCGGAAGCTCCCAAACCATCTCATTGATGGCCTTCGAAATCTTCCGGCATGCTTTGGCACTGGGATCAGAAACAGTGGGGCAGATTGGTCTCCACTTACTGATATCATTATGCTTCGGTATAGCATAGGCAGAACCCAACCTCCCATTTCTCTCCCATTTGGCTAGCTTCACCAGATTCAGCTTCTTATACTCGGACTCCATTGTCGCCATCAGTTCTTCCTCCGTCATTTCGACAGCACGAAACCCTGTATTACGAATAAACAATTTGTCCATTCCTTGATGATATATCAGCGGACAACAAACCAAGGTATCACCAGGGTTGTGGTCAATGGGAACTTTTACCAGACCATGCAGACGATCTTTCCAAAGTAAAACATTTTCCTCGCAGCAAGGGTTGAGAAGCACATCTCTATCCTCCAGAACGCAATTCCTCAAATCATTTCTCGAGAAAGAAGGGACAGGAAGGTTTAATGCATTAATCGAATCTAGCAGCTGCTTGGTCAACAACCGAAAAATATCTTTCCTAGATGGTTGGGGTACGTTCTTATTATTCTTAATCCAAGCCAGGGCACAACACAGATCATTCAACCTAAAACATACGTGCCCATTCACCCTGGGAAAGGCCAAATTAGATGAAGAAGAACAACAGGAAATTCCCTCTCCTCACGCGGCTGCTCTAAAATCGAACAACAAATCACCAACACTTCTATTTTTTAGCCAGACCACCCTCATCCGTCTTACCAACATCTCCTTCCATCCTAGAGTAATCTCAAATCTCCAAATTAAGGATTTACAGAACTCCCTGATTTCGGGCTTGCTAAGCCTCTTGTCATAGGTCACCCGCACAACCAATCGTTTCCTCACATTGAGACCAAAGTTCCTTGAAATCACATTCGACAAGATGAGACGTAGAGAACTACGAGTCCGTTTCTCAGAGAAACATCTGATAGCAGAGAAGGACGCCACGAGAGGAGAGAGATCCCAGGATGATATCTCTTTCCGAGAAGGAGGATTGGCAAGCAGATTACTTAACACCGGTTTCAAGAAAAGATAGCGAGCCCCAAAGAAAACAATAGAAGAAAAAAATACATAACAACCTGGTCAGAACAACCCTTTACATTTCCGTAACAGATCAATCCCGCTGTCAAAATCAACAACCGACGATCCGTACTTACGTTTGACAACCTTCCAGTTCTCAGCCCATTTGTTTCCTCCTGAACAGTAAATACCAACCGCCGAAATACGTCTCTCCTTGCAATACTCGAAAATTCTTAGAGATTGACGATGAAACAATACCAATTGTGGAATGGAACACATCAATCCCTTTATCTACCTTGCACAGAGCGGAAGAACCACATTTCCTCCTCCTTTCACGCTTACCTAACCGCTTTTTCCTCCCTTTAGCAACCCGATCCCTGGAATTTAAATGGGGATTAGCAAGTCGGATAATATTTCGTTCTAACTCCAACAGATCTTCCTGGTTGCAATAAAAAAGAGGCAAGGCCACGTACTGTCCCACTCCACATCGGCGAAGCCAAGAATACAATTTATGATTTCTACAGCCACCATCAACCACCTTCTCATTGACTGTCCGATAAACATGCTCTACCCAGCGAACAGCGAGGGATCGAGAAGTCGACCCTACATACACGTGCTTATTCCACGGTGATATCAACACATAAACTAATGGTCCGCGACACTCTTCAAGATCATCCGTGCAGGCAACAAATCTCAAATAACTACGAAACTTCAATCCCCACGGAATTAATCCATCAAGAATCAAGCGCAGAACGACCGATCGATAAAAAACGTTAAACTCCTTATCACGCACGAAGTCAAAAGGACGAACCCCAAGAGGATCAGGAAAAGAATTAGCCAAAGTATCGTCTGAGGACTCAAAAACAGAAGAGGAAACAGAGATATTCGTACGTGAATCAGAAATCGAAATCTTAGTAGACAATCGTCGGTCTGTATAAAATTTAGCCAGATTCCACAGGTAGGCCGCGTCCGGGGAACATCCTAGAGCTCCACTGAAGCATCACCGACCTCTTTAGAGGTATCGATCTCCTGGGTTGATTCCGATTCAAGGTCTACCGTATCAATATTTCGTCGCGCAAAACTTCCAAACGCCTGCATGGCACGATGCTCAGCGATAGCATCGATCATCGGATCCACCTTGCCCGTGTTAAGTCCAATATCCTTGCACAACGCTTCAAGGCCAAATTTACGAATTAGCCTTAGCTGTTTCTTTTGTTCTTCAATAAAGGAGGCACGATCCGTAGTTTTCTTAACAGCATCACGATTCGGCGTGGCCTTCTTCCCTTTCCGGGCCGAACGAAGTGCTGCTGCTTCCATCTTGTCTTTCAGATTAGTGCCTCCTCCAGTTTTGTCTGCGCCACGATCTTCGACAGACAACTCGCTCATCTTCTTCTGCAAGCTCAAAACCTCAGACGCCGCCAACGCATGCTTCTTCTTCATAGCCTCTACTTCTGCAAAATCAGCGCGCCTAAGTTCTTGTAACTTGCGATACTCACTCTTCCATTTATCGGTGCCGTCCTGTCCCAGGTCCGTCCAACGAGCCTTGGGCGTACCCCGATTCGCAACGTCAGGAGTGTTCAAAGCCACGCTGCCACGCTTATTCCCAGGCCGCATGGCCTCATTCTTCCAAAGGTTAACTTCATTAAGCGCTCACTCATTCTGCCCTCTTAGCACGACGAGTTCGCTCTTGAGATCAGCAAGCTCACGTTCCATGTCTCCTCTCGAATTAGACGACGATCGGAGCTGCTCGATCTCTTGCCGGATGGCCGTCATCTCGTCCTCCTTGCTGTGTTTAGTAGCGATCAACAATCTGAGATCAGATATCTCCTTCTTGAGTTTCTCAACCTGAGTGCCCTCACTACCACTTAGCAGAGCCCAACGCAAATCTTCGTTCTCCCTCTTCAATCGAGCAACCTCATCTACTGACGCGTCTCCTTCCTTGGTTCTTCCGATCACCTTATCCATGCGTTGTTCCAATCTTGCGCCCATATCTTCTTCGAACTTTTCACGTTCCTTCTTCCATTGAGTACGTCGTTCCTCTTCCTCCTTTTCTCGCTAAATTCGCTCTTCTTCGTCCTTCTGCTTCTTTTCCTTCTCTTCGTCCGCAAGCAGCTTACCAAATACCCTATCGAGCTTCTCTTGATAACTCTTCCAGAAGCTATTACGCGGTTGCCCGCCATACTGATACCCTCCAGTACCTGGGACGTGAACACCAGCACTCGGAGCCGAGTTCTGCGGAGCTGGGAGCGTAAGAAGTGGCCCAGTCTACAACATTAGCTCCTGTCGCCGAAGGTCGGTTCTCGTTGCCGCCCTGCGGACACTCACGAAAAAAGTGGTGAGGAGATCCGCATGTGAAACAAGTCCTAGGTGGAAACTGTGAAGCCATGAGGGAAGAGAAAATAAAAAAAGCAAGCCAAAATAAAACAATGATGAAAGTTAGTACGGTAAGCTAGTATGGTAAGCTAAGGTACGCTATGGTCAACAAGTCACACACGCGTAGTGCAATTCCTACGGTGGTTACACTGTCGAAAGGATGTTGGTGATATTCACATGCATCCAACCAGTTGCAAACCAGAGCAATCACATCATGCAGAGCGAAGAATAGACCGGAGAAAGAGTAGTCAAGTCAACAAGTAGTATCACCAAAATCCCGAACGCGGCGAGATAAGCTTTAAAAAATGAACATGAAGCACAATCGGCTTATCAAAAGCTCGAACCGGAAATAGGCATTGCGCCTAGTATCGTCACAATTCATGCGAGCAGCTGGCGGACGACCCTACGTTTCATCTGGTCGCCAAAACCGGACTCATCAGGGGTCTTCAGCGAACGGAGGAGATAGCAACTACTACAGGTTGACAGGTATAAGTACTCGAGTGCTAGCTACCGGAAGTGCCGGAAGGTCTACTAAATATCAATGAATGAAACTACTTAAGCAGTCCAGATACCGAACCTGTCAAAAGTTAGAGAAAATACACCGTTCGCGAAGAAAACGTGACGCGTTGTCCAATTCAAATGAGCCGTGTCAGAAAACGGGCTGGCCACCCGGGACCCGGGCCGCCCGGCTGGTAGCCTAGCCGTTGGTTCTATTCAGGGGGAAGACAGTAGACATCATCTGGTGGGGCCCTGGTCTGCTACGAGATTAAATTTCAGTAAAACATATTTACCAACTCCAAGGATTGCAAAAATAGATTTAGAGAGCACTCGTGGGGCCCAACGTATTAGCTCATTATGTAGATGTTGTTTGGAATGTGTACACACATGTGGGACCCATTCGAAGAGATCGTAAATATGGGAATTATAGTAAAAAAACTGTAAAATATATTTAACCGACTCTGGTTCGGAACAGAAGAAATCAAAAAGTTTCTTAAAAAAAAAAAAAAAAGAGTTTCTTCGAATTATCTTGCCGTATATTCCTGTTCAAAGTATATACTCAGAAAACGGTGTTGCTTTACAAACGATGTTGCTGAAATTTCAACAACGCTGGATCTCTGAGATGAAATTAATAAATTTGAAATCACACTTCTGATTATTCAACTTGTCATGTATGCAAACAGCGAAACAGCAACT